CTCATACTCCAGCAAAGGAATAGAAACCAAGAAACCAGCTAAATGAAATAATGCCCTAAATGTCAGGTAGGCACCAGATGTTTTTCAAAGAGAAGTGTTTTTGTCTGCATCTTAACATCTGCTGCATTTAGCAAGGTCATAATTCTTATACTACCTTTGTTCTGTTGTATTTTCTGCACTATATTTGGTGTAATCACAATGCTCCTTCTGCTTTATCAGTATCCTCAATGAATGGATCCTGAACTCACTTTCTACTTCATCTTTGAATGCAGTAGTTGTTAAAATCTATATCAATGTCAATATGTAGAAGTTATTTAATAGTTGCTGTAATTTTTAAATTTGCATTAGCTGTAGCAATGCAGATCCTAAATAGGTAAAGGTTCATTTAGCATAGTGTATTGGTGGATGGCAGTTGCCAGTTTGAATCAAAGGGTATTGTCACTTATGCATACTGTTCAATTACAGATCTAATTTGCAATGTATCTCAGAGTCTGTCTTCATATTTAAGTGCTTTTAATGTCTATTATGAAGCTACGGTGCTGACTAATGGAATTTCATCCAGATCTACTTTTGTCAAATGGAATTTTAACTGTCCTGTTAACTGAGCTACAGTTAATGTTTATGAAAGTTGGAGGGCTTATTCAGTAATATTTAGTCACACCTTGGTTGCAGAGCATGCAACATACATAAAAATTTCCCTAAATGAAAGGTGAAAATTTCCTTGCAATTTGATTTTTTCTCTTGAAGTATTTTGTCTTTTTAAAAAGCATATGAAAGTGAAAAAATAGTTTATATGTTTCATTTCCTATTATAGCTGTATTGTTCAGGTAGTGTATTTTTAACTTGAGGAAAAACTTTATGAATGTCATTGCTTAGTAAATAGATTTTTTGACATTCCACTGATTATACTGATCTAAAAATTGATCTATTGGGAAGATGCATAACTTGTAGAGCAGGTTATGTAAAGAAATGAATTATGAGGAAAAAACTTAAAAAAAAGAAAAAAGGACATAATATAGCACAAGAGAAAGTAATAAGTTATAGTTAGATAAACCTGGTAAAAAAACACCAAAAAATTGTCATATCTTCCTTTCTTCTAGGTTAACAAGTCTTTCGTAGTATATATAAATGTTCAAGTATTTAATCTTAACACCATCAAAACAGTTTATTTAATAAAGCTATATATGGTGCACATGAACAGAAATATTAGCCCAAGCTATATATGTTAAGAGTCGTGGCAGTTATCCTCTGTCTGTATTTGGAATTTGAACTTGAAGAGTTTGACCTTAAAAATATGAAACAGCCTTCTGAAGATACACTTTGGGCAAATTTTTTGATAATCCCCTTTTACAGATATTCAGGCAGACATTGTCAAGACAATTGTATCTCTATAAAATACATGCTTGAAATTTGCACAACGAAATAAATCAGGGGTAAAATATCCTTTGAGGAAGCCTTATTGACATAATTGACTAGAGATGTATAACTATCATTGATGCTGTTGCTTGTATATGACTGCTGTGATGTTGCATTGAAGAGGCAGAACAGAGGTGACATCTTGCGTGAAAAATTTACTGCTAGATTAGACTTGCTATGCTCTGAAGAGTCACATTAGATACAGCAACAGCTGCCCTACAAAGATGCTAAAAACTTGGGATAAAGGAGTTAGTAGCTGTTTGGGGTTTTTTTAAGCAAAAAAGATGAAGGCAAATGTAACATTTCCACAGATTGTTTTACCTAAAATGAATTTTAAATTGGGTGCGGCAGCCTAGGCAATGAGTGCTTCACTGGACAGTGTCATAGATTTTCTACAAGAAGGATGGCCTTGCCTTACTCTAGCTGATACCTCTGCCAACCTATTGAGAACTGAATAATTGTAATTGATTCAAGAGAGTTGTCCACTCTTCAAGATTCATCCATAGTCCTATTCCATACATTGAGCTTTCAGAAAAAGGACAGAAGCTTTAGTAGAAATTCCAGTGGTAGTTGAAGTCTCAGCGAAATGCATTTTTAAATTTCTTATGCTCACAGATACTAAGTTACAACTGCATCAGCAGCAGTGATGCACTTCTGGTGCATACCAGCATCAATGTCACAGCACAGAAGGACATTTGCAGCCCATCTCCCTGGTAGGGGATGGTTCCCTTCTGGATTAATACCATGGCCTCCTGTCAGTGTGACTCCAGTGACATTAAAGCTTGAATAATTCTCCATCTGCCATTAGTAGTACTTTTCTAATTAATAGGTTCAGTCATTTATGTTCTAAGGAATATATTATAATGTTAGCTGTTTTAATATTATTCCAATTCAGAAAACCCAAGTTTACAACAATTTAGTAAGATAACTGAAATGAGGAAGTAAATATATGTTGCTCTGTGCTGATGTTCCATGCTAGGCAGCTTAGGTAATAGAAAACAGAATTTGGCATAATAAATATCTTCACTAATGTTAATTTAATGATTATGACAACAGTTTAAATTAAGATACTTTTATAGAAATTGAACTTTCCCTGAGTTTTGCAGCCATTGGGAAAGTGGTTGATTGATGCCGTAGTATTTTGTTACTCATTATACTCTCTCACTATGTAAAATTATCCCTTTGAAATCAGTTTCATAGTTATATATATAGTAAGCACTTATTAGAAATTAGTTGGAGTGCTATTACTGTTACACTGCTATCTGGAATTTTTACACAGGTGAAATTCCATGTCCTAGTAAGAACTAATGGCCACCTCAGCTAACACCAGGTGTTAGTTAATCGCTTTGTTCTGAAAATTGAGACTATTTCCCAGATGACGTGTTCAAAGCCAAAGGCATTTTGTTGTCAGAAAATTGGATCCTAGTAAATTTTTATGGTTATTCACGATCTTACCTAGACAGCTAAATCTTAAAGTAAGTGTCTGTGTGCCTCGTTTGAGAGACACAAATTCCTTGCATGTTTTTGTGTTGGCTGCGGCTTCTTTTTTTTTTTTTTAAAAAAAACAAAACAAAAAAAACAAACAAACAACACAGCTGGAAGAGAAGGTACATATTACTTAGAAGTTTGGATTCCTCTTTTTGTTTAGAGCATGTCTGCTTGTCCTTCAAATGCCCACTTCATGTACTCCAGGTGGAAGTAACTACTCCTAATACAAAAAGCTGTAGCTCAGCTGCTTTCTACAGTAACCCATTAGGAGCACACAACTTTAATTAGTCTTTCCCAATAAATACTGAGTTTGGTTTCTTGCTGCTGTGCGTGATGAAAATTTCACAGGCTCAGCTACCTGTGAGAATGCTTGTCCTTCACTTTACTGGGATCTTGAAGCAGTTTTGTCAGAAGACAGAGCTTTTGCTGCAGTTCATCTGCCTGCACAAGACACTCCTTGTCACATCCATGGAAATGAGCCCTGTTCTCACCTTCTTGTGAAGGAGTACTTACACTGTGGGTGTAGCAATAAGATGGTAAAGACATGTATTTCTGAACTTAGTCTTGGTTCATTGTAAGCTACCTGACGTGTGTTCATTTAGAAGCTCATCCACTGGTTAAGAGAACATTTTTGTCAGTAAAATTAACTAGCAGCATTTGAGTGAGTGGTAAGTCTTGTGGTCATAGTTGTCTATCTTTCTGGGACCCCTTTATACATAAATGACTTCTGCATCTGAACCAGCATGACCTCATAGGAACGTTCTGTGTTTCTGTGCATAGCGGTAGGCATTTAGTCTGCTATGAAAGATTCTTTCTAATGCTGTTAATTAGTGGTTGGCTTAACTTGCTGATTCATAATGCTCAATAATAACATTTGAAATGTATGTTATGGAGCTAATTCACTTTATTTTCATAAATATGTTGTAGTTTTCTGAACCTGCTAGGCTACTGATTCACATGCTACTTTGTCATTGTTCAAAAATTTTATTTTTCTTGAACTCTTGTTTTTTTTAAAGGTGTTACTGTCATAGATTTTAAATATTTTAAATATTTGTAGTACAACTCTGTACCCTTAGCAATGAAGAGTTAAGATTCTTGCTTATGTATTTTATTTTGTCTAATATTAAAAGAAAGGAACTGCATGAAAGAGGATATAAATTTGTCTTTCTTGCTTGCAAGAGAAAAACCTCATAGGAACGTTCTGTGTTTCTGTGCATAGCGGTAGGCATTTAGTCTGCTATGAAAGATTCTTTCTAATGCTGTTAATTAGTGGTTGGCTTAACTTGCTGATTCATAATGCTCAATAATAACATTTGAAATGTATGTTATGGAGCTAATTCACTTTATTTTCATAAATATGTTGTAGTTTTCTGAACCTGCTAGGCTACTGATTCACATGCTACTTTGTCATTGTTCAAAAATTTTATTTTTCTTGAACTCTTGTTTTTTTTAAAGGTGTTACTGTCATAGATTTTAAATATTTTAAATATTTGTAGTACAACTCTGTACCCTTAGCAATGAAGAGTTAAGATTCTTGCTTATGTATTTTATTTTGTCTAATATTAAAAGAAAGGAACTGCATGAAAGAGGATATAAATTTGTCTTTCTTGCTTGCAAGAAGTAAAATGCAAAAGTGAGATGTAGATATAAGAGTTACTGCTTGTATCTAAAAATGTCTTTTAGCGAGATAGAGAACTTTTATTTTGAGCACCAGTTCCACAGACGTCTTGTATGTTTGGACATCTGTTTATTTGTATTCCCTTACAAACTTAAAGCTATATATAATTCAGAGCTCCTTAGGATAAGGACTGTATCATCATATATACTTTTACAGTAGTTCCTGCAGCAGGACTTTGGAGTTAACTTGGGTTTCTGGACACTTCATGTGTTGGAATGATAATAATCATGCTCAAGTTGATAATGGACAGTTGTTAGGATGTTTTGAAAGGTTTTCCATATGTACCTGTGAAATGCATTTTAATTGTTTTACAGTATAGTGTGACATTTAATGAAAATATTCGTAAGCTTGGTGTGTTCAGGTGAGCATGTTTCTCTGCCCTTGAGAATTTTGTCCTTTGTTTCCTTACAGACCTTTGGAACGTTCCAGTGAAGATGTAGACATAATATTCACACGACTGAAAGAAGTGAAAGCTTTTGAGAAATTTCATCCAAGCCTTCTCCAGCAGATATGTCTCTGTGGGTATTATGAAAACCTGGAAAAAGGAATCACATGTAAGAAAGTTTCATATGATGATTTATTTTATGTAGATAAAATTGTGGATTAGGCTGGGATTGTCTCTGGAAGATTGATGAGAAGGTACAATCAGTGGAATGGCCATAAAAATGTTTACAGACTTAGTTATGGGGGAAGGCAGGACTAAAGTACTGCATTCTCTGCAAATACAGCATATTGCATCTATAGTAACAAGGCACACATTATTGAACTTAGGACCCTTGCCACTGTGCTGTTGAAATACTAGAAGCAAGTAATTGCACTTAAGCCTCATTCTTCCTCTCTAAATGTGTTGATCTGTTTTATAGGTGCTTTGTGATGTCAGGGGCAGAAGAATATCACCGAGGCACATCCCTTGTAGCATGTGGTTTGCAGTCACTCTAGATAACACATGACAGATTGGCAGAGTTGCATACTGCTGTGGCGTGCAGTAGCTCTGTGCCTGCTCTGGCAGTCTGTGTGCCAGATGAAGGTGACAGCTGTTCTTGTTCCATGAAGCTGAGATGGAAATAAATAGTAGTCCTGTGATGGGAACGTGTAAGTTCCCAGAGCTGGACCAGGAGAGTAGCTGATGGAGATCTGTGGTGTTTGGTAGTCTTATGTACCCCTTAGGTAAATGTGGCATTCTTTAGGCACACAGCACTTGGGTTTGCTTAGAGTAATAGCAAATCTGCTGCTCTGTAATCACACAGGATGTCTGAACATAAAAGTCCTCTAATTGTTTCTCAGCCAGAGCTCATACTGAAGTCAGTTGGAGCTGTGTCTGCATTGCAAGTTTCTGCTTTTCAAAGGGATGTTATTAACAAAATCTTGGGTTTTGTTTGTTTTGTTTATTAACTAAGTTAGCGGTGAAAGAAGCAAGCTGGGAAGAAGCAACTGTGTTTTCATTGTTTCTGTAGTGTATCTACCTGTTTGCTAAAATACGTGCTTTCCAGTGTCATTTGAAATAGTATAGTAAGTAGTCTGATGTGACAAATTCTATAGTGCCAGCAGGGATTGCAGTAGTACAGTGATATGAGGGAAAATGCTAATGTTTCTAAACTTCAAGAGATTGCTCTTATTCACAAGGTTTCATTTTTTCAGTGTTCCGTCAGGGTGATATTGGGACAAACTGGTATGCTGTCCTGACAGGATCACTGGATGTGAAGGTTTCTGATACAAGCAACCATCAGGTAAAAATAGATATTTTTTTATTGAAACCAACCCATGCAGAGAAAGAATATGAGTTATACTGGAGTAGATAACAGCAACACATATTGTGCAGGTAGTTTGTCTTGTCACAAACATGTTTCTCTGACCCTCCTTTAGTCTTAGTTGTCCTTTGTCAATGGAGGCAAATCATGCCATGGATTTCAGGAAAATTGAAATGTAATGCTCTGAAAAGCAGTCTACATTTTAATAGGAAACAAGACTCCTCTGTCTTTTCTAGTAGTGCTGTATGAAGTTAAGCTAAAGACCAAAGAGTTTTGTTAATTCATTCCCTGGAAATATATTAACTCGGTCCTTGATCAGAAAGTTCAAACCAAATGCACAAACAGCACAGTCTGATAACAGCAGACTCCAGTGCAAGAGTGGAAAAGTATTATGGTAATAGTGGAGTATTGGAACTGCTGCCATGTTAGACCTACCTATTCAGTGTTAAGAAATAAAAGAACAAGTAAAATTCTCCCCAAATTGCAAGTGATTTCTCAGTTACTTGGCACTCCTGGATTTACAAAATTGGGAATTTAGGATAAATACCAAAAAAAAGCATGAAATCTTTCTCCTGGAGAAAGTCTCCCACCCATGTCATCTAATGTCATGCTGACAATTCATGCTGTGAGCTCAGGCATCATGCCCCATTCCCTGCATCCGTGTTTGAGATCTGGGATTGTCCCATCATGTGGCTCAACATGGGGTTGTACCTCTGACATGTGACTCATTGTGCCTTCACATGCATGGTATAGCTACCCAGGACCTGAAGTATAACGCTACCCTTTTTGCCACTTTGAATATTGGGGAGGTGATTCTTTGTCCAAAGTTTGACCGACTGGGACAGCTTTCTTGGTCATAGAAAACTGACAGAAATTGCTTTTTTTACTTTGTTGAGCACTGCATCCCCAGTGAAACTGGGGCAGAATGCAAGTCAGGGCAGTGTGAGCACTGGGTACTTCCTACTTCCTACAGTAAAATAACAGATACAAAAGGAACTTCTTTTATATCGTTATTTTTTAGCAACATCTTCACGATATTAAGTAGAGACTGAGAGAATAATTAGCCCAATTTGAACAATTTACAGCATGGCCTGGCTGTCACTGATATTGTCACAATCTGGAACATTACTGGGCTATTAGGACTACTCTTTTCTGTGCAGGTCTAAAGGAATCAGGATTTTTTTTCTGGTGTTTGTTGAAAGATGGCACTATACTTTTGATAAGGCCCAGTACTTTTCACTGATTTCTCACAGAAAATATTAGCAATATTGATTAGGTCCAAGTTGAGAATTAATAGAAACAGAAATACTAAAATTACCTATTTGCTGTTTTGCTAAGATGAAGCTTTCCGTGTGCAGATATAAATGCTTTAATAAAGAAAAACACATATTTAGGACCTCATGGATAAAGCCTCACTTTCGTAATGGTTTGGAATAATCCTTTGATTGCTTGCAAAGCTGTATTGTGCCACAGGAGGGCAGTGTTGGGATACCTAACAAACAGTACAGGCACTGTTTCACACTAAATTAGTTTGAAAATCACATTAAACTATTTACAATATGCCTTTTATAAAGAGTTTGACTGGAGAAGATTTCTCTGTTACTGTTAGTTCTGTTCCACTGAGGTTGTAAAATATGCTACCTGCTGCTGGTCATGATAAGCAATTTTATTTGCTGTTGAAATAGGACAATACAATTTACAATCCAGCATCCTGACAGGATTACCCATCTAGTATATCGTGAGTGGTGGCTGGTCTGCTTTGCATACAAGTTATTTATGAATTTTCTGGCTATTCAAAAACCAAGAAGAGACCAAGGATTTTTTTTTGTAAAATATGCTACCTGCTGCTGGTAATTGCAGAGGTAAATGTAAATTAACTGGTTTGGTCTTGCTTCATCTTGTTGCTAACAAATACCCTGATAAATATTGTACATAAAAGTCATACAGTTTTTGTAAGTCTCCTTCAAAATAAACAGAAGATGCAGCCTGTTTAGAATCTATCAGAAAGAGTTCTTTCCATGCAGTTATGAACAGGTTCTGAATTTAGCTTTTATTTTGCACTATTGCCTACACAATGCTACAACTGAGATATAAAGTAATTTAACTTCCTCTTAGAGATATTCCTAGTTTGCTGTTGTCTTAAAAATACTGCTGCCTTCTGTATGTTTAATTTTTGAGCTTTATTTTTAAAATGACAAGGTTCTGAGGGATGACTGTTGGTAATGTCTCAGAATAAAGCTGGGAATAAATGCAGTGTGACAAAAGCATCAGTGTGACATCTTCACCAGATTCTGCAGCATTGTGTTTTTCTGAATTAGATTCAGAGCCTTTTAATGAAATTGTTTTTATTCCTATCTGATAAAACAGGAAAGAATTAAGAGAAGAAAGACAAAAGACAAAATAGCAATTTGATCTGCATTTTTTCCTGTAGTCTGCCAACTGTATCATAGCTGTTGGCAACTATTGCTGAGTTATCTTGCCTGTGTTTTGGTGTGTGTTTTTTTTAAGCTGATCAGATTTAAAAAACATACCAAACTGAACACAGAGCATAGACTTTACAAACAGCCTTTTTCAGAAAAGCTGTAAAGGAGGAGCTGTGGGTGCTTGGGTGGAACAGCAGCATCAGTTGTATCAAGGTGCAGAGGGCTGGGATCAAAAGCCAAATAAATTATTGGTGTTGCTGGGAAGAAGGATGGTGGAAGAAAGACACTCAAATGTCCATGTAACAAAGGGAAGAATTTCCTGACTGCTGGAAATTGAGGACAAAGGGGGTATGCAAGAAGATGAAGTAGAAACAAGTAAAGGGATTTAAACAGAACAGTTCTTGCAGTGCTGCTTCTTGCATGTAAACAGCCATTATGTATTTTGGAGATAACCGATGTAGAGTCGCTACGTACGTTTGTTCCATTGTGTAGTGTAAATATGCCCAAGGTAGCTATAAATTACTTAGTTTGAGTGTGAGAACTGCTCTACCCATTGTAACACAGAGATTGGCTGGACCAGTGTAGACAGCTGAGAAGCTGAGTTTGTTGGCACATGCAGAGTTCCACAGTGTCGAGGTTGTACTACCTAGTAAGCAAACTTTTCAAAATGCCAGCTTTTGCAGATCTCAAATTAAACATGGACTAAGTATATCAACTCCCTTATAAACTCAAAATATTTATTTAATTAAATGTCAAATAAAAGTGACCAATCCCTTTCAATCTAGCACCCACAGGTTTTTTTTTCTCTATCTTCATTTCTCTTTCAGACACCGTGATCTTGTTTACACACAGTACAAAAATTCTGGTTGCCAGGTTGGAAAATATAAATTGTCACAAGTCAGTGAGGTGCATGCAGGGATGTGCCCTGTGATGGTGGGGGAGTGAATAAGGCAGAGCCTTCTTTCTGATTCTCATCCATTCCATAGAATGTTCTTACAAATTCAGTAATGTTTTAGATTATGGGGGGCAGGGGAGGGGTTTAGCAACTCTTTCACCGCAGGTGTCTTACCTGCCAGCCAGAGTCAGTCAAACAGTACACAACTGAATACTCTGATTTGAACACTACTATTTTATAGTGTGTTCAGAGGATAGTTAGTAATGGAAACAATCAAATATTTAAGTCTTCAGTACTGCCTTTTAAATAGCTGTGTGAATTTTTGCAGAGTAGCAGCAGCTAGAACCCCCTGCTGCTTCTGCGATTGCAAAGGGGAACAGCAAACTGAGTTTTGAGCTGCCAGCAATCCTCCTGAAGTCTACAATGAACAACAGGAGATTCTTGAGTTTAAAGTTAACAGGTGTAATAGGAGACACACACCTGATTACCAAGAAGGCTGGAGATGTATAAACATAGGATAGAAAAAAAAAGGGACTCTGAAGTCTTGAAGAAGACAGGTAGGCTTGCTCCCTAGCTGGCTGTGGAACTGCATCTCTATGGACAGCAATGATGACTGGGGAAAAGAAACTGACAGAACTTTCACTTGATAGAAGCCTGGACTTTAATGAACATAGATAGGACCATTCCAGCCTCTTAACACCCCACAATGTTATAGTCTGTATTATAGGCTGCTTGTAGAGACTTCTCTTTAGGTGCCTAGGTGCTCATTCCAAATATTCTCTCTTTTAAACAGTGCTCATATTTGCCTTCCTTGAACATTTTTCTGATGGCTCTTCCTAGATCTTTTCTAAGACATAATTTATTTTCCTGAATACAAAATTTTAGATTATAGTAACTGTGAAAAAAATTTGCTATGGTTCAGAGAATTGGACTACTATGGGCATTTGTCTTCTTAATGCAACTTGATCCTAATAACATTTGCCTATGACCCTTTATTAGATGTATGAAAGGAAAACAATGCAATTTTAAACACAAAAAGGGATGCTGAAATGTGTTCATGCATCTCTTGGATTATCAGCCACAAGGATGTAGTGGATGGGATGGCAAAATGTCCCTTTTTTGTATTGTTTTTTGTTGTTTTGTATTGTTTTGTATTGTATTTTTTGTATTTTTGTTTCATTATTGTAGGCATTTTATGAATCCTATGTTTTAGAATTAAACTGTATTTCTAATATTGTGTTAAGTAAAATTAGCAAGTTTTATATGCTTATGTATATTTGTGTGCATATATAATTTCCTTAATAAAGTGCAGTTTGTATCAGTTTAAATTTTTAATGCTGATGCTATTTTTTTTAATTACTCAAAATACTATCAATTAAGGCCCAACTTAGAAAGAGACATACATAAATGTTCAGCTTTGAGTTTGTGCTTGGGAACATAGCAACTTGTAAGCCCAAAAATAGAACATGTATCTTAAGATCTTGATTCAGCAAGTTATTTAATTTTGAGTACTGTAATTTTTTCACTGCAGTAGCTTATGATTTATATTGAAACTATTACAGAGTAGTTTCTGGCCAAGGGGGGGGTAATTCAGACATCTTTCCATCACATGAATGGCATATGCTCACATAGGCTCTTTTGAAGTGAACATTACTGCATGTTTGGGACCATCCTGGATACTCTCTTCCAGGTTGTTTTAGAGTTTTGACAGTTCTTGAAATCCCTGACTTATGTGAAAATAATTGGGTTTTTTTGGTCTGGTATTTAATCAGTAGGCATCTATTAACAATTGAGAGATTTACTGGCATTTCCAACAGAAAGACCAAGTGCTGATTAAACTGTACAATTGTTTTGCACACAAACCTTGTAGAATAGAGAAATGCATTATAAATACAAGAGGATATTCTAATTGAAGGTTAATGTTTACTGAGAAAATGCAGCCAGTCAGATTATCTTTTTGATTAGGGTAGCCTGTATAGGGCAGAAATTTATGTTCCAAGACTGTATTTCTGATGCTAGTTATCTTCTGATCAATGCTGACATTTCTGAAGGATCTCATCATTACAACAGTCTTTCGACATGGATGAACAGAGGTCATAGGTTTCTACCAAAGGTGAAGGTGACTTTTGTGGTCTCTGCTTTGCAGATAGAAAGGTGGTCTAGTGCAATTGATGGTCATAGAAAACAAAAGTCCTGCTTGCTTCCCCATTGAGGATTCCTGTGTTGTTAATCAGCATATTGATTTTTTTTTTTTTTTGGCACTTTAATTTTAAAGAAAATTGCTGAAGAATCTTACGGCAGTGATATTAGCATATGTGACATAAAGACTTTTAAAACATCCATTTAATGTGTGTCCTTTTGTTTTTGTTTCAAAGGATGCTGTGACAATATGCACTCTGGGAATGGGAACTGCTTTTGGAGAGTCCATTCTAGATAACACTCCTCGCCATGCTACCATTGTTACCAGAGAATATAGTGAACTCCTTCGAATTGAGCAGAAGGACTTTAAAGCACTTTGGGAGGTAATTCACATTTATTTGCAGTTTACGCAGAGAACAGTAACCTGTTAAGTGTATGTAATGAAATATAACCACATTTATACCATAAGCAAAATAATAATTTTAAATTACTTGGTAAAAAAGAGAAGTATTTTCACTTCTTTTTAGGGCTTTATGTTCTGCATGATACATACTCCTGTATTTCTCTTGTTGGCTCCTTCTAATAGAATAAGTTAGGTGAAATTTCTGGTGGAATTTTTTTGTGTACTGCAGGTGTTACTTCTGTAGCCTTAAACTTGCTTTTATTGCCAGCATGTATGAGGAGAATCTATCCTTATTGTACCGTGATATCTTAAATTATTCTTCTGTTTTGTCACCAGCTGCAAGGGGTATAGAATTTGCAGATGGATCAGGATCACTTAAAAATTAAGTTACTGGTTGCATGTGAATTCCATAAAACTTTCCTTTGTGAAGAACGTACTGTCTTCATTTTATAATCTTTGTGTTCTTTGGTATTGATGCTGAGAAGACTTCATTAACATGTTACTGTGCGAAGTTACTGAATTTCAGTTTGTATTTTTGTAAGCATTATACAGTTGTTTTAGGAATTAGAAGATATCCTGTTGGTCTGGCCTACACTATTCCCAATCTATCTACTAGTTTGTTTTTGAAGGTGAGTGTACAAATTTAGGTGTTATGTAGAGCTGTCAGATGGCATGACAGTGTCCTAAAGTTGCAGATCTAGGAAAGTGAACTATATTTAAGAAATGTGTGCTGGTTGTAGCATTTTAGTTCAGTGCCTCTCATCAGTGCAGAGAGATGGGGTTTTTTTTTGCTTTCTATTCCTCAGAAGGAGCAGTATTATACTCCAAATAATTGTCCTAAAGCAGTAACAAAGTAAGGGTATTAGAAAGAAAATCAAAACCACAACTGGCTACACTGACTGAGGAAACAGCACTAGTATTTCGTGTTTGCAAATATGTTGCCATGAGCATATTTAGTGGTGCAGCCTGGTCAAGGCATGAAAGACCAATGTGTGTATGAAACATGCTTGCCATTTGATGTTCTGACAGTATCAGATTTCATTCTTTGAATTGCATAGCCGTAAATCATACTATTTTTTTGGCAATGTCTGCAGCTAAAATAAAATGCTTATTAAGTCTCATAGCAAATTCATAGAAATTCACAGAAATTCACAACTCAGTATTTTTCTGCAGTTCATGCATTTTCTCTACAGGAGTTGCATTATACTTTTGGACCCAGCTATTAAATGATTAAATGTATCAGTGGTCTCATCTGTTTTAACATGATACACTTGCCAGCTATCAGAAATTTTTCATGTAGGTATTGCTTTACAAGCTCGTGATGGAGGAGAATAAATCCAGTTTTAGGTTTCTCAAGTAACTCTTATTTTTAAAAAAATTACTTTTAATTGGTGTGAGTAGAATAATTTCTGCTAGTTATATGACTTGCCTGCTACGCATTCAGAGATTGTTGGTTTCTTACCAGAAGTATTGGAGAAGTGGAAGTTAAGTTCCCTTGTTAACAATTTTTAACCTTAAAACATATTTAGTTGCTTTACAACAGTGTAATTTGCTCTTTAATCACTAATACAATGGTGTTCCTAGCAATTTTGCTGTTTTTTGATGAGTTTTCTGGTGATGGATGCTTTTGGAAAAGGTTGTGTGAGTTGGAAGCTTTGGGAGCTGTCCTAGGGAGACCTAGCACACTTCTGGTGTATTGCTGATTTAATGAAATTGTGCAGTAGAGCTTGTCACAGATGCTGCAGGTGTCAGTCACATACCGCAGTTTAGCTTTGTGGTGCTACTTTGCTTTCAGTGAACTTTTAATGTATTTTGGTGTAGTTTCTTTCAAGAAGGCTATTCCTGTGCTCTTAGTGAATGAAAATCATGCCATGAAATTGAGCTTTCCGGATTAGTCTGAGGTAAAATTAATAATAAAATGCCTCTGTAATATACAGAACCACATATTCAATCAACCCTTTAAATACAGAAAGATTGTCTATGACGTCCACTTTTAACAGTCAGGAAATGCTAGTCAAAACAAATTATATTGTCCTGATAACAATTACCAGTGAAAATGGCCTATCCTGTTCTGGATCTCAAATGTATCCTCTGTATCCTCTAATGGCTGCCCTGTTCAGGAACTTCTGTTGACAGAGCTTCTAAGCTTACTCATCCTCAGAGACTTTTCTCTCAGTGTCTTCTATAGCAGATTGGAGATGATGAAATCTCTGATAGGTTCTCACACAGCTGAGCAGTATTCCCTGATGAAGAAGCTCTAGGAGGTCATGGGAATCGCAGGTGACGTGCCTTTGTGCACTGAGTGTCCCTGGCCTTAATCTCTGAAAAGCACTAACAAATGTGAAAAAAGTTATTAATCACTGTTAGATCACTGTAGACTTCCAGGATGCTCTATGAATCTGTAGGCAGGAGTACTCTTTGTGTTGATAAGAGCTTGCTTTCCCTCTTTAGCATCAGTGAGTTAGTGTGATGCTAGCTACCTTGCCCAAAAAACTATTTCGTGGCACAAAGCAAAATATATCCAAAAATAAACATGAAAGCGGAAAGCTACACATGAGGAGCTGTGGTCATGCACATCCTGTTGGGTCACTGACTTGCTCCACCCCTAATAGTTGGATTCTTTTAAACAGAGTAGGAGTGAAATGAATGTATTTGAGCAGTGTTATGAATACAGAAATTCTCTGTAGGTTGTACTTTCATGCAGTTGCAAACTGATTCAAACCCAGACAGGAAGGGAGTGAATCTGCTGAGAGGTGACTTATTTTTAGAGGTCTTTCCTACCACAGTGAATTACTCAGCCTTCCTTGGATAACATACAAATAACCAATTTCCTTTTGTGTGCAACAAGGTTATGTTAAAAGTTACTGAACATGTCTTGAGAAACATTTGATCTTGAGTAAATGAAGAACAGCTGTTACTTCGGTATGCAGTAACTTTGGAGGGAGGGAGTTTTGGCTCCTATAAGGTCAGAATGAGTATTTTGATTATTTTTAATTAATATTCAGCAGACTTACACTTCTTGTAGTCTGATAAACAGTAGTATAGCTTACTTTCTGCTTTAGTCAATCTGATGATAATTCAGTAGCCCTCAGTAGTCTTCACTGCCCTGAAATGGTAGCTTGGGGAGAAGCAGCTTTCTTACTATCTTTGTTTTCTGAACACTGTGTTAGTCTTTAATGAGCTAGTTTGAAAACTGATCCTCTGTCAGAACAGCAGAAATTTTGTGTACAGTTTCAATGGAATGCTGTATAGGAAATGCAGATATGAAATGGCATGCTGACTTCATGTTGTAAGCACAGTTCAGTGACATTCATCAGAACTGAGACCACAGCTCTTAGTGCATTTGTGTGCAGTATCAGTTTGTCCTTTTAAAGTACATCTAATCATATTACTTATTTTTAAAGTATAATATAATCATAGGCCTTATTTTATGTGTCAAGATTATGGCAGCATGAATTATGAAGGCACTGTAAAAATACATTAATGAAAATGAACAGTTAAAGATTTTTGTTTTATCCATTTGGGTATGCTTTTAAGTACATTATTTATCAAAGTATGTTACTGAATCTCATATACGTGTTTTGCAGTGTTATGCAGTAGGCAGGCTTTCAGAGAGGCAGCCCTTTCCTTCCTCGAGGCTGCTGGAAAATATATATTACATTGTTACTTAAGAATGTTCTTGCTTCTTTTCTCTAATAGACTCCTGGATACTTCAACGTGTTTAAGGAGTATTAGGAATCTCATGTAAATGTCAATACTTTCTAATACACCTTTTCACCAAAGAGTATTCCATACCAGAAGTTCTTTCTGGTTCATTTAAGTGAGGTATTAAATTTGATCTGAGAAATTAAATATTCTGAGGGGGGAATAAAAAAATCAGATTCATGTCCAGCCCCTAAACTATCAGCTTGATTTATGATATACTACTCTGCCAGTTTATTGCCCAGTAATCAACTGCAGAATTCTTTGATCTGATTTACTGATGTCCCATAGGTGAACAGAGAAGAGGTATAAAACTATAGTTAATAAAATACAGAATATTTAGCTTTGCAGGATGGATGATCATGTGATTTAAAATACTGAAGTGCTTGGAGACCTACAGAAGTATAAAAAGGTGGTCATGGAACACTCAGCTGTCTTTACCTGCTTCATGTCACACTCTCCATTGACTGCTCTCACTCTACCTTGATGATATATCTCTCCAGTGGGGTTTTATTTGAGAAATGTAGAAGTGATCAAATTGTAGTAGTCTGCATTTGCAATGTATGTGGAATTCTGTGTTCACCAGCCTCTCAAATAGCCATCTTGTCAGAATAAGGAAGAATTATTCCATGTTACCAGATACAGAATACAGCATAGAAGGAAGAAGTGAAAGGACCCAAGTGTGTGAAATGTATTGCCTTATACTGTCTGCAGATCTCTAGCTGGTGACCAATTCAAATTTGCATGCAAAGAAACAGAGCTAGTGTGAGAGACACAGAAAAATGAGGTGGTGATAGGCAGGCAGATTTTTTTCATAGAATAACAACATGGAAGGAGGAGGAATATAAAAAGTCCTCCTCCCCTTCCCAGCTTTAGACTATGACAGTAAACACGGAATTGGTAAGATGTGAGCAAAGCTTTGAAGGTAGCTAACATCCCACCTTCATACCTTCTGTGTTAATACTGTTAAAGCATGCGACTGAGTAGCAGGGAAAAGTTCCAAAATGGTTATTATACCAAGAAGAAGTGCCAGAATGTAGTCCCAGTTTTGCTGGTGTGGATTGAGCATGTTTCAAGTGAATACAGTACAATTGCTCTGATACACATGAAGCTAAGTGGAAGTGAAGTCTGGCCTTTAGTGCTGCTTAATACTGGTTTTGAACATCCTTGTAATATGCTTTTAGAATTTTTTTCTCTTGTTTTTGCTTTGTCAGACATTTTTAATATTAATGAGTGGTGTTGTGTCTGGTAGAACAGATTTAAAGGAGCATGGAATGG